GCCAATATTTTTCCATGATTTATAATAATTGGAGTAATGCAAATGCATATTTTCTAAAAAAAGTCATTTTTAGTGAAATTTTGCCGGGAATGGGGCTTTAAGTTTAAATTTCTGTTTATACAATTTATATACATGGCCTCTGGTTATAGAATAATCTGATCTTGTAAATAAGCGCTCAGGGTCCAAAAGATCAATACCTAAATAACAAAGTTGTCAAATTAAGAGCCTTAAGTCTCTCCACATAAGCTTTGTCACTCAGACTTCTAATCAATCTGGTAGAGCGTTGTTGGACCTTCTCTAATAAATCAGAATCTTTTTTATATTTAGAATTCCAGACACAACTACCATACTCTATCAAAGGACGAATCATTGACTTATAGAGACGCAAAAAACCATTACCATCAAGAAATTTAAATACTCTTTTGATCAGACCCAATCTTCTATTTGCTGCTCTTGCAACCTTTACAGAGTGTTTAGAAAAATCCAACTTATCATCAAATAGAATACCAAGATCTGATTCCTCCTTAACACATTCAATTTCACATCTTGATGTACCAGTACCAATAAAATATTTAAAATTAAAATTTTTAACTCAATAATGCATAACCTTGCATTTTGTTAAGTTAAATAGCAATTGCCAGTCTATCGACCACTGGTATAAAGCATTTACATCCCCCTCTAGAATCTCACGATCAGTCTCACAATTGACAACTCTAAACAGCTTAGTATCGTCTGCAAACAACTTTATAAATGAATCAGAAACAGTTTTGGGTAAATCATTAATGAAAACTAAAAATAATAAAGGTCCAAGGACACTTCCTTGAGGAACCCCGCTAGACACCAATTGCCATCCAGAACTAACACCATTAACGACCACTCTCTGTTTCCTATCTTTCAAAAATGCCACAATCCAATTCAACAAGTTGCCAGATACTCCATAAGACTTTAATTTTGACAATAACCTACGATGAGGAACTTTGTAAAATGCCTTTTGAAAATCAAAATAAATACAATCAAACGACAAACCACTATCAAGCCATTGAGTCCATTGATCAACTACTTCCAGTAATTGAGTAGTGCAAGATCTACCAGAGCGAAAACCATGTTGCTCTTCCCTAATTAAATTATTAGATTCCAAATACTCATAAAGTCTAACTTTAACCAACTTTTCCATAGACTTGCAAATTACAGAAGTACTGTAAGACTCACAGGTCTATAATTTAAAGGATTATTTTTATTTCCTTTTTTAAACAAAGGCACAACATTAGCCTGTCTCCACGAATCGGGAACAATCCCTTCTCTTAAAGACCTATTAAACAACAAAGTTATCAATTCTCCAAGTACCTCAACTACTTCCATCAGTACTCTAAAATGAATCCCATCAGGACCGGGAGACTTTGATGTCTAAACTCTTAAAATGATTTACCACTTCTTCAACTGTGAACTCTATAGAAGTTATACCAGGCACATCCATATTATCTAAAACGGGAGGATCGTGAGACTCATCTGTAAACACAATAGCAAATGCATTATTGAACAAGCTCAGTGCAAGATGATGATGACTTTTAAACAAATTAATTTAAACATATCAAGAAACTTAATGGGTTTTTTTTAGAAATAAATCTAACGAATTTAAATTTCATTCTCTACAAATATCCTCCGTAATCAGGGGTGGCGAAAGCATTGATTGGTACGGTGTGAGTCTCCAATAATCTCAGCCCCACCATGTTTGGGGCTGGGGTTAGAAAATTTTGTAAAATTTACACGTCTAGATGCTCGGAAATAGCACTTAAGTTTTTAAAACGCCAGGATACTGAAAAGAATCACCCTAGTGGAAGGTTTAACTTTTTGTTCAACATACTGTCGTGTCATTTTAATCAATTTATTATAATCTCCATGGCATGACATCACAGTTCTTTTTCACGGCATCTGGTAGACCTATGCTTGTTGTTTTGTTCAGGGTTTAACTGATCGTCTTGTTTAAGAAGTTGATTTTTGTGTTTATACTGAATATTATGTTCGGAATTTAGGAGAGTTTCGGATTTTCGGAATACAATACATGTGTTATTTTAAGTAGTATAATAACCATGTTTTAAATAACGAAATCGCCGAAGAAATATCGTTTTAGTGTTCTGTCTTAAAGGTAAAGGTAGGAGAATAACCCATAACTTGCAGCGTCATTGCGTCAATGCTGAATTGCGTATAGGCGTCGTCTGTGACTACCTAGCAGCCGTAAAGAGGCGCTTCTTGGTAGATACATGTTCGCATCATTCCACGACGACAGGGGCTGAAATGAACCATAACATCGGGGTAACCCCCTACTCTTCCGAAAGATGCAATGGGTTCTTTAAAGTGCACACGAGCCAGATGTATACACTGGACCTCCATTTTAAGTCC